TGCTCCCACTCATACAAGAAGACGCAGACTGCCACGCTGGGTGGAATGAGGGAGAGCTGGCCAACAGCAAGCGGCGCAAAGACAAGCATTTAAAAAGGTCTCGAGGGTGCTACTTCCAAGGACTGTGCTGACAGGGGCCCCTGGGAATCTAAGTAGACAGGAGTCGTTTGTAATGAACAAATGCATTCTTTGAATATAAAACTGCAGCTAAAATCTCGCCTGGGCCTTCGATCCAAGATGGTCTCACTCTTCTTTTTGTTGATACCATGAGGTGTTAGGCAGAGTCGGAGGTGGAGACAGCAACCCACCCCCTCCCTTCTCCGAGGAGGAAGCAAGGAAGGCCTGAGGTCACCTGCTCCCAGCCTGCTCTCTTCCAGACAAAGGGACTGGAGCCTCAGCAGCCACGCTCCACCCTCAATGGGTTCTCCAGATCCCTGGGTGCTGCATCGGCTGTTTGCTGCTTTCTTAAAAAAAAAAAAAAAACCGTAGTGGGTTTAAGGGGCAGTTCCAGTCTTTTCTGCATCAGAGATGGCTTTTCTCCTGGGGTGGTTTTGGCATCTCTCGGCCTTCTCTGTTTGGACATGACATCTGCATCTCGCGGGAAGGGCGACGGGTCGGCTGGATTGCATGAGACCAACTGGAGGAAGCAACAATAATGCCATCTATTCAGCCAACAAACGTTTGTGAAATGCCTAAGATGTGCAATTGATTATTAGGTCCAGTGCTGTGAAGGGTGAAAGACTCCAAAATAGTGTGTCCCATAGCTGCTAGTTGCTTCTCCTGCGTGATCTCATTTCCTCTGAAGAGCAGCCGCCTTGCAACTTTTTCTGAAAACAAACTCTGCGCTGGATGCTGTTCCAGACATTTTTCATGTACTAACTCATTTCATCCTTACCTTGGCCTCATGAGTTAGGTTGCCTCCATTTCATAGCTGAGGATGCTGATGCTAGATCCAAGTACCAAATAGCGAGTTTTCATAGCTGGGAAGGGGCAGGGCTGGGAATCGAATCTACTGCACACCACTCTTCCTGTGTGAGGTCATGACCCTAAGGAGTGTTTGGAAAAAGACCTTTCCCAGAGACAGGAAAGGTACCAAGGAATCTAGTTCAATATGTCTTTATAGGCAGAGAAACTGGCTCAGAGAGGTAGGATGCCCCACCTAAAGTCACACAGCTGATCAGAGGCATAACTGGGACCAAGGCTAGGTTTGCGTCTCCCGGCTGATGATCTTCTCACCCCAAAAGCTGCTGAAATGACCAGCCCTGTGCCTAACCCCTTCCTTCTAAGCCACACAACAGCCAGGGCTCAGGCCCACGGGCTTGGCGAGCATTGTGGGCACTTGGGGTGCTGCCAAGGGGCACCTCGGACGCTCTGACACCTTCTTCTGAGCAGCTGAACCCGGCTGGCCACTGATGAGCTCCGAGGAGCCAGTGTCAGAGAGGGTGAGAAGTGGATTTTCCACTTGAGCTCGTCCTCGCTGGCTCTGGGTCGGCGTCCTGCTTCTCCATGAATCGACACCCACCTTGAGCGCTTGGCCTCCCCCAAGTCATGCCCCTCCCCCGCGCTGGACAGATCCAATCCGAAGGCTTGGCCTGGCTCTCAGCGCCCCCTCTCCTACTTTGCTCCTGGTCATGGCCAAGCCAGTTGACCCCACGCCCCATGGCAGCCCATGGTCCCATCCTGGGCTCACTTTTATCCTTCATTATCCCTCCTGCCAATGCTCCCCTCAAAAGCCTGGCTCTGAATTGTTTGTCAAAGAATCAATGGCCCAAATGTGCACAGATACAGGGACGGCAAAGAGCACCCGCTCCTGGGGAACATGCAGTGTTGACCGCCTCCCTCTGGAGGCTCGAGAATGACTTGGGACAGACGTGGACCAGGACACTGTAAGTGAGCGGGCGTGCCTCACGGCCACAGCTGAGCCCGAAGCTGCACTTGAGCCAGGCCCGCGGGGGTGTCTGAGGCATGGGGACAGGGGCTGTGTGAGGAGGCGAGCCTGCAATGGTTCCCTGCTCTGGTCCCCAAACTTTGTGGAAGGCTGCTAGATGGCTTCCATGACAGTAACGACAGCAATGAAGCCGGCTCCCTCCTCAGAAGGCGCTCTCCCTCCACGGGCCGGCCCAGGCCTCGCCTTCCCCTCACACTCAGGAGCACTCGCCACACTCGGTCTCCCTGCACACCGCCACCCTAACACACTCACACACGTTTCCCTCACATATCACCTCACTCACACACACGGCCACTCTCTCACGCACACTCACACACACCACTCACACAATTCACACACATTTCTCTCACACACATCATCTTACACACACAACCACTGTCTCATGCACTGTCACACACATTTCTCACACAACTCACACACAGCTCACTCACGCACATCATCTCACTCACACACACAACCACTGTCTCACGCATACTCACACACACTACTCACAACTCACACACATTTCTCTCACACACATCTCACTCATACACACAACCACTGTCTCATGCACACTCACACACATTTCTCACACAACTCACACACATCTCACACACAATCACTGTCTCTTGCACACACACACAACTCACAACTCACACACATTTCTCTCACACATCATCTCACTCACACACACGACCACCCTCTCACGCACACTCACACACGTCATCTCTCCCTCATTCACATGCACAACCACTCTCTTATGCACACTCACACACATTTCTCACTCACGCATTCATACACATTTCTCTCACACACACTGGCACACATCATCTCTCCCTCATCCATCCACACGACCACTCTCTCATGCACACTCACACACATTTCTCACACACACTTACACACTCGCCTCCAGATCTTCATAATCAGTACAGTGCGAGGCCCACAATAAGGGCCCCTGGCTCACTCTTTGGGGACAGAGCTGGATTTTGGATCAACTCTCCTAGTCCACACTTTCATACTGACAAAACTACCCGAGCTCTTGTCTGGCAGAGCTCTAGGGTGAGATCTAAATGGCTCAGAATGTTTTCTGGTGAAAGCTAACAAAACAAAGCCTTAGAGCCACAGCGCCTGGGTTTGAACCCTGGCTCCATCACTCACTGGCTGTGTGACCCTGAACAAGTGACTTAGCCTCCCTGTGCCTCAGTAATACTTCCTGCTTCCTAGGGCTGTTATGAGGACTAAATGACTTAACATTTGCAAAGCAGGTAGAACAACACCCAGCAAGTTGTACATGTTGCATAAATAAAAGAAAAAAGTAATTATTTAATTGAAACCAGCATTAGCTGCCCATTCATTCATTTCCTGTCGCTCACTCGGTATTTATTGAACACCTATGGAGTTCATTAGGCCAGACATAAGGGATGCACACCTCACCATCCAGGAGGAAACACACACACAACAACACAGTGAAAATATTTTTTTTCCTTTTAGGAAAATGTAATAATTCTAAGCAGAGGTTTGCGCATGATTCTAAGAAAGGCCAGAGAAAGAACATTTACCTATTACCATGTAAACCTAAAAAAACCCACCCAAACCCTACAGTTCAACGCTTTGAATCCATTTAAAAGATTGAATTCCATTGAACTGATTTTTGAATTTAGACCTAGGTTCGGTACACACAAGCCTGTGGAAAATGTTCCCGTTCAGTGCCATCTACTCCACTTCTCCGCATGTTTTTCTTCCTTCTTCCCTCCCCTGGTCGTCTCGATCGCCCAGAAAATAATCTCGGGGTGCCTCGGGTCCTCAGTTGATGGGGCCGGGAGGGGATATGGGTTCAGTCAGACTAACGCGCAGTCACTTTTAAAAACAGCTTATAAATATCTGGGAGAGGGAGGGAGAGGATGGAGAAAACCCAGTAACTGGCAACGTCTCTACTGACGAACTGGCAGCAACTGCATTTTAGAGTCTTGGTGGTTTAACTCAAACCGCTTTGCGAGCTGCTATACGTACAGACGGTTTAATAACTGATGGAAAAATGAAATCCGGTCAAGCCGCACGCCTCCCCCAAATCCATTCGCTTCTTTTGAATGTAATCGCTTTTAAATGCTCTGACCCCAGTCAAGCTGGTGTCTGTGTCTGCAGCTCAGGCGGTCCACACCGACCCTGCGGAGTCCGGGTCCTCCGGCTAGAGCCGCGCGGGGCTCCCCGGGGGGGTGGGGGGCGCCCGGGCCCCCCACCTCTCCCTCCGGCTGCTGCCTTCGTGCCAACACCCAGCAACCCGAATCGCTTTGGGAAGCGCTCGGCCCCGGGAAGTGGCGGCTGTCACTAGCGGCGGGCCCGCTGCGACCCCCGGCCCTTCGCTGGCGCACGAACTTCAGCCGCAGACGCCGGACGCGCGGCCGGGCGACTTTCTCCAACTCCGGGCGCCGGGATCGCGCCGCCAGCCCCGGGCAGGAGCCGCGGGCGCGGGGCCCCCGAGGGCAGAGGCGGCGAGCGCTCCCGCGGGCCGGCCGCCGCGGCGCGGACCGCCTCCTCCCGGAGACCGCCATATGGATCCGGGGCTCCGAGGAGAGGGCGACGTGGATCTCCGCGGACTCGCGGCGTTCCGCGGAGGGGAAGGGGTAGGAAGGAGCTCCCGGGGACAGGACGAGGTGTGCGGAGTAGGGGAGCCGACGACAGCGTGCTGGGGCTGGGGGATCCCAACCCCAGAGGCGTCTCTGGGATCTGCATGGGAGGGGTGAGGGGGGAACCAAGCTCCGATTCCCAAAGCCTAACGCGATTCTCGGCGCAGAGCTGGTCACCCGGGTGGGCGGACCTCGTCCGCCGCCAACATCCCGGCAGCTTCGCCACGATTTCTTTCTCCACCTGAGTTCCCCCCACGACCCACCCACCCACCCGGCACCAGCTCCAAAGGTCCGGGGAGAGGGAGTGGGCTGCCCCTCAAACCTCGGCCGCCCCCAGACCTGTGCACAGCTCTACCCGGTGACCCCCATCACAGCCACAGCCCCCGCGCGTCCCGCGCCGGCCCGGGGCTGGGGGCGCCCGCGCTCGAGGGCCGACTGGCTCTTCTTACCTTGACGAGCCGGAGCTGCGGGCGCCGTCCCATCCTCGGGCTCGCTCCGTCACCGTCCTGGACGCCTGGGTCGCTCGGACATCCCAGGGGGGCCGGGCGGCGCGGGGTGGGCGGCCTGGCTCCCCTGTCGCTGCCCCGCGCCGAGGTGCCCGGCTCTGCGCTCCCCGGCCCCGCAGCCCGGCCCGGCCCGGCGGGCTCTCGCTCTCCCCTGCCCGAGGAAGTCCGGCCGCCGGGTCCTGACTCAGCCCGGCCCGCCGCCGCCGGGAGCCCGCCTCGCCCCCGCCGCCTCCCCCTGGGTCCGCGCTCCTCGCCTCCGCTCCCCGCCGCCTCGCCTAGGCGTCCCCTCCCCTCTCTCTCTCTCCCCTCCCCTCCCCTTCGGTCCCTCCTCCGCGCCTCGCCCCTCTGCTCCCTCCGCCACCCCGCCTACCCTGTCCCCTCCCCTTCCCCGGGCCGGCTCCTCGCGCCCTCGCCGCGCTGACCCCTTTTGCCTGCGCCCCGGTTTGCGGCAGTCGGCGGGGCGCACTAGCCGCGGTGGCGGCCGCCGCAGCCCAGGGAGAAGCCGGGGATGGGGAGCGGGGCGCGGGAGAGGAGGCAGCCTCCCAGCTCCAGCCCGCTTGAGGTCCGGGCCTGGGGAGTCCAGGGAAGTCTGGGGGCGCTTGGGGGGCTCTGAGAATCTGTGAGAGCGAGGCTATTGGAGACTGGGGAATAGAGCAGCCCCCAGTGAGCAGAGCCTCCATGGAAAACAGGGGAAGCTGGGCACTGCGTTTGGGCAGCTCCCGCCCTGCAGCCGGCCAGGAGAAGGTCCCCGCCGCCCCCACCTCAGCAAGGCCTGGGCGTTGGGCCCGACACCCAGCGCCTTTGGCACTGACATCCCAGGTGCGCGCAGAGACGCAAAAGCTCTGCGGGAGGAACACTTCTCATTCATTCGTTCATTGGTTCTGTCATCCATTCATTCATTCTACGAACTAAGCCCCTGCCCAATTTGGTCCCGGCGAGGGGCTGAACCTGGGAACCCCAAAATGCACGGGAGACGGCAGTGCCCCGCAGGACTAGCGGACGCCTGAATGCCGCTGCGGGGAAGGCCGAGCGCATGGCGCTGCAGCCGGGGAAAGCAGTGAGGAATCCAGCGGGCTGGGCGTGCAGGAGGCCACAGCGCCCCCTCTCGGCCGAGCTCTCAGGGTAGGGGTCAGCCGCCCCGCCAGACCTCCGGGTCTTCACCCAGTTTGGCTCTCTAGCTCCCCTTCCCACTCCCAGGTCTGGAAAGCAGCTCCCGTCTCTTCCAGACCCTTAAACTTTTGGCTTCCTTCTACCTCTTCCTTCCTCCCGCCAGTGCCGAAAAGGGAGGTAGAGAAATCACTCCACCGGCAGAGCCTCGGCCTGCAGCGCCAGCTGCAGCCCCGCCAGAGGAAGCGGGAGCACTCTGGGCGGAGCACGGTCCCGGAGTGGCAGTCGACCGGCTTTGAAATCAAACTCTGAACCCAACTGCCCGGGATTCTGTGCCCTGCCTCATGCACCCCCCTCCTCCCTTCCATCCGCTTCTCAGCACATTGGGCAAGAGCCGGCCATGAGTCCAACTGATTCCTCGTTTAGAAAGGGAATTACTGTAACAGGTCCTGCGATCCAACACACACAGTGTACTGGTGAGGAAACTGAGGCACACAGAGAGATGGTGATCTGTCCAGAGTCATGTATCTGGTAAGCCTAGTCCTCAGCCTCCTGATTTCCAGCTCAAAGTGCCGGAGGGCTGGGCCCTATGGGGTTTGGGGCTCTGAAGCGGGGAGGGCCATTGCCCAGGAAGCTAGCCGGTCACACTGGCTTAACCACACAGGGAGGCCCTTTCTAAATGATGCACATATTCTCCAGTCTTGCAAAACTCCCATTAGGCTAGTGCCCCAGAGCTGGTCATGCTGAAATGGCCCACGGACTAACCCCAACCAGAAGAAATGGATGCACCAACCAGATGGACAATTTATTATTCTCAACAAAAACTAAACACAGAGTGGCTTAGTGTAGGGCAGCTTCTGGAGTCAGGCAGCCTGAGTTTGAGTCTCGGTTCTTCCACTTGCAAGCTGTATAAACCCGGAAAATTATTTGACAGTGCCTCAATTTTCTCATCTATAAAATGGGGGTAGGAATACCTACCTCACAGGGCTGTGGGGAGGTTCAAACGAGTTCATATTTGTCAATGAGTTGGAAAGGTGTCTGGCACACAACAAGGACTTAATGAAGGTTAGCTATAGTCACCATCAACATCATCATCATCACCATCAACATCATCATCACCATCAACATCATCATCACCATCAACATCACCATCACCATCAACATCATCATCACCATCAACATCATCATCATCATCATCAACATCATCATCACCATCAACATCATCATCATCATCATCAACATCATCATCACCATCAACATCATCATCATCACCATCAACATCATCATCACCATCAACATCATCATCACCATCAACATCATATCACCATCAACATCATCATCACCATCAACATCATCATCACCATCAACATCATCATCACCATAACATTAATCATCATCTCATCATCATCATCATCATCACATCATCATCATCACCATCAACATCATCATCACCATCAACATCATCATCACCATCAACATCATCATCACCATCAACATCATCATCACCATCAACATCATCATCACCATCAACATCATCATCATCACCATCAACATCATCATCACCATCAACATCATCATCACCATCAACATCATCATCACCATCAACATCATCATCACCATCAACATCATCATCACCATCAACATCATCATCATCACCATCATCACATCATCATCATCATCAACATCATCATCACCATCAACATCATCATCACCATCAACATCATCATCACCATCAACATCATCATCACCATCAACATCATCATCATCAACATCATCATCATCATCACCATCAACATCATCATCACCATCACACATCATCATCACCATCAACATCATCATCACCATCAACATCATCATCATCACCATCAACATCATCATCATCATCAACATCATCATCACCATCAACATCATCATCACCATCAACATCATCATCATCACCATCAACATCATCATCACCATCAACATCATCATCATCACCATCAACATCATCATCATCATCAACATCATCATCACCATCAACATCATCATCACCATCAACATCATCATCACCATCAACATCATCATCACCATCAACATCATCATCACCATCAACATCATCATCACCATCAACATCATCATCACCATCAACATCATCATCATCACCATCAACATCATCATCATCATCAACATCATCATCACCATCAACATCATCATCACCATCAACATCATCATCACCATCAACATCATCATCACCATCAACATCATCATCAACATCATCATCATCATCACCATCAACATCATCATCACCATCAACATCATCATCACCATCAACATCATCATCACCATCAACATCATCATCATCACCATCAACATCATCATCATCATCAACATCATCATCACCATCAACATCATCATCACCATCAACATCATCATCATCACCATCAACATCATCATCACCATCAACATCATCATCACCATCAACATCATCATCACCATCAACATCATCATCATCACCATCAACATCATCATCATCATCAACATCATCATCACCATCAACATCATCATCACCATCAACATCATCATCACCATCAACATCATCATCACCATCAACATCATCATCACCATCATCATCACCATCAACATCATCATCACCATCATCATCATCATCAACATCATCATCAACATCATCATCATCATCACCATCAACATCATCATCACCATCAACATCATCATCACCATCATCATCATCATCAACATCATCATCATCATCAACATCATCATCACCATCAACATCATCATCACCAACAGTATCATCATCACCATCAACATCATCATCAACATCATCATCACCATCAACATCATCATCACCATCATCATCATCATCAACATCATCATCAACATCATCATCATCATCACCATCAACATCATCATCACATCAACATCATCATCAACATCATCATCACCATCATCATCATCATCAACATCATCATCATCATCAACATCATCATCACCATCAACATCATCATCACATCAACATCATCATCACCATCAACATCATCATCACCATCAACATCATCATCATCATCATCAACATCATCATCACCATCAACATCATCATCACCATCAACATCATCATCATCACCATCAACATCATCATCACCATCAACATCATCATCAACATCATCATCACCATCAACATCATCATCACCATCAACATCATCATCAACATCATCATCATCATCAACATCATCATCATCATCAACATCATCATCACCATCAACATCATCATCACCATCAACATCATCATCACCATCAACATCATCATCACCATCATCATCATCATCACCATCAACATCATCATCAACATCAACATCATCATCACCATCAACATCATCATCAACATCATCATCATCATCAACATCATCATCACCATCAACATCATCATCAACATCATCATCATCATCAACATCATCATCACCATCAACATCATCATCAACATCATCATCATCATCAACATCATCATCATCATCAACATCATCATCACCATCAACATCATCATCACCATCAACATCATCATCACCATCAACATCATCATCACCAACAGTATCATCATCACCATCAACATCATCATCATCATCGAGTGGACCAGATACTCAAATGTATGGGCAGTGTGGTCCCTCCCTCTAGACAATTCTCTGTGGGAAGCAGAATTCTTGATCAGAAGGCCACAGCCCCAGTGGATTGTGGAATGCAGCAGAGGAAGCTGGCGGGTCCTCAGGGAGGTTTGCGCAGGCGCTGCAGAGACCTTGCACCCCAGCCCTGCTCGACCTTGGCGCTGACTCTCCAGGAACCAGACAGCTCCAGATTTCTAGATTCTGTTTCTCTCTGCTTAATATTTTGCCTTTCTGATCCCCATCTTCTTCCCCTTGACATGATCTTTAAATATGCTAATGCCATCGATTAGGCTGTAATCAAGTCTTGCTCTTCCTGCCTTTTTGGCCTCACATTCAGACCTTCTCTTTCTAAAGGGGCACCTACAGATGGCACATTTCAGCCCGCTGGTGTTGATGGTCTGTGTTGATTTTGCTGACTTAACCTCCACCTGCCCACTGCACCCTACCCCGGCCCGGAGGTGGCAGGAGG